GAAGAGAAGCGGGTAGCGGGTGGGAAGGCCTAATTTTTTGCCCTTCCAGTTAGTAAAGATAGAAACAACAATCACTCAGAAGTCAACAGAGAACAAAGAATCAGGCATTCTCCTCCTTGGCTATGGAGCTGGAATATGGGAGAATCTTTCAGATAGGGAAGCTGACAATAAAGCTTAAAAATGAACAGACTCTGACTCAGCAATTTCACCTTCAAGGAGTAGGGATATATTCATGGATATGCATAAAATATTTTGCTTTAAAAAATATAATACAGTATTATTTGTAACAGTGTAAATTAGTTAAGGAATCAAAAACAAAGAAAAAGAAAAAATTAAAATATATAGAAATAAATGTACTGGCACAGAAAGCTGAGCACAATATTGCTAGCCAGAAAGGAAAGGCGAAAAGGCACCAGCATCAGATTGTGATTCCACCTTTATTTCTACAATTTTATCTTCCTATCTGCTTAGAGAAAAAAAAAAATTGAAAGTTGGCTATGATCAAATTTAAGTCTCTGGAGCCGGGGATATAGCTCAGCGGCATAAGCACCTGCCTGGCAAGCACATGGTCCTGAGTTTGATTCCCAGCACACAAAAAAAATCTAAGTCTCTAGGAATTACAAGTGATTTTAAGTGTTTTTAGTTATCCTGATTTTCTGATATTCCTACAAGGGTGATTTTTCTGGGGTTTTTTTTGTGGTGCTATGATCAAACCCAGGGCCTCACACATGCTAGGCAAATACTCTACCACTGAGCTATACTCCCAAGACCAAGATGATGTATTTTTTAAAAAGCCAGCATTTTAGTTGAATTCCCCTTCCAATGTTATCTCATCAATTTCTCTTTCTTTTTTTAAATTTTTCTTTCTTTCTTTCAGTAAAAATTCTTTTGGCATGTGCTATGCCTGGGCACTGAATCCAGGGCATACTAGGTGAGTGCTCTACCACTGATCTATACCCAAGCCCAAGAATTTTTTTCTTTAGAAAAAATCTTTTTCTCCTACATAAAGTTGCCCAGGCTGGTCTTCAACTTCTGATCCTACTGCCTCAGCCTCCTAAGTAGCTGGAGATTACAGATATGTGCCACTGGCTTCAATAAAATTTTTAATTTGGATTTTTTTCTTCCTGTACTGGGTGGGGATTGAGCCCAGGGCCTTGGCACACAGCTACATCCCCAGCCCTATTTAAAAAAAAAAAAAGAAAGAAAAAAGAAAAAAAATTTTTTTAGAAAGTTCTAAGTCACTAAGTTGTCCAGGCTGGGCTCAAACTTAGAATCCTCCTGCATCAGCCTCCCAAAATGCTGAGATTCCAGGTGTGCACCTCCATACCCAGCTTAAACTGGATAATTTTACAGAAAAGTTGCAAAGACAGGCTACTGGCTCAGCTAAGCAGATAGGATCATGACCTTTCTTTTCCTGTTTTATGTCAGATTTTTTCCAGGACAGAGGGGCACTTTGCTTTGAGGTATGAACAGTAGACAAGGCAAATATGTGAATGCTAAACAGCACAATGGGAAGAAACAGATGCTTATGGAACCATAAAATATTAGGAAGTAGGCACTGTAGGCATGTGGAACTTGCTTAAAACTAAACAGGTTCTACCCCATGCGTCTACCTTTTTTTTTTTTTTTTTTTTAATGTGGTGGTAGGGACTGAACCCAGAACCTTGTGCATGCCCAACACAAACTTTCCCACTGAGCTACACACCCAACCCCTGTCGTTCTGAATGGTGAATAGGCTAAGCATGCATGACTATGCAAACTCCTTGATTCTCCAAGAAGCCACCTACCATTATGGCTATGCAATAACCCTACCCTGCAATCTTCTACCTGCAGTCCCTATCAGCCAATCCAATAGGTTTTAAAAGAAATGATGCCTCCCAAAAAGATGCAACATCAGATTATCTTTTGGCTTGATTCCTTAAAAGTTTTCCTTCCCTTATCCCATGCCAGAACACATATTAGGTCTGCCCTGGGTTGTGTTCTCAAATTGCAATTCCAATTTTCAAATAAGTGTTTCCTTTGCTTATGTTATATGCTGATGCTTCTTTGACTGACAATTAGAAGATGCCAAAAGCCCCTCTGAAGACAATAAGAGGAAAGATGGAGAGAAAGATAAAATTGCACTGCTCCCAATCTCCCCTACACCTTTTGCCACCCTGGATTTCAGCCCTAAGAGGGTAAAAGAGGAGGGTTGTTAAGGTGTTGGCAAGGGACTGAGTTGAGGCTAAAAAAGATGGTTCAACATGGCTATGTAAGGCTGGGATGCAAGCTTATTCTTTTATACTGAATTCTATAATACCAGACAATGTCAGGCATCTTGTACGGTTTACAAAAGTTCTGCCAATCTAATGGGGTCCATACTTTACTTGGGAAAGATAGGAAGACCATGTTACTGATATTCAGGCAGTTGTAATTATAGCAGCTCTTAAAATCTCTGATTGCCAGATGTGGCACACGCCTGCAACCCCGGTCCTTGGAGCTCTGAGGCAGGAGGACTGGCATGTGTTCAAGGCCAGGGTAGGCTGCTTAATGAGTTCAAGGCCAGCCTGCATCTCATACAAAGATGTTGCCTGAAAACAAAACAAAAAGCCTCTAACCACCCTATTTCCAGGGAAAATGAGCTCTGCAAGTCCAAGTGGTGTTGTCACCAGGAGCCTTTAGCTAAATGGTAGAAGTAAATTTGTAACTTATTTTTAAGAACATGAGAAGCTGACTTTTTTCTGCATGTGAAATCAGTATCTTAATAACTAACACATACTGATTTAGTACTTTGATATAGTAAGTACTATTCTGTTTTTCAATAATTTATCTCATAATAAACCTATGAAGCAGGTACTGTTATTAATCCCATGATACAAATGGAGAAAGAGATTAAGTAATCTACCCAAAACCTTATAGGCAGTAAATGGCAGAGCCAAGCTTCAAATTCAGGGACTCTGACTAGTTTGTGCCCTGACCTGCTAAGCCATGCAACTCTCTTTAGGAAGACTTCAAAATAAACATGATGCCAGCGCCCTACATTTTTGAGCCATTCTCCAAGCATATTCTTTACTATCTGTTGGAAGGCAGAAAATACCCTAGGTTTCAGTGGCTCCCTTTAAAGATGAGATAGAGAAAGAAAAATGCAATTTATAACTCAAAATTATAACCACAGTCAGTGTCTGAGTATTTACTATGTGTCAGGCATTATTTTTACTTAACATTAGACATACATTATCTCATACAATCCTCCCATCAGCTGTACATAGTATTATTGAAAATCCCTTCCCCCGAGACCCAATTCTCAGAAGTTTTTCTTCACTTCTGCCCACTCTACCTCTTAAATATTAGTTGCCCACTGAAGCCTATCATTTGTAGATTAACTACACACTGAAGTTAGCTAACAACACACAAACCCTCCCTTCCAAAGCACTTTCCAGTCCCAAATTATGGGAAAAGGTCATACCTGGAAGGGGTGATTGCCAGACACACTAACCAAAAAAAAAAAAAAGACATAAATCACTTTAATCAACACAGAAACCTTGATCAATTATGTTTTCTTTAGATCTACTGGGCTGCAACTCTTGCTGACTTGTGCAAATGAATTAAGATATACACAGCCCACACTCCAACCCAGGCTGCCTTCTAAAACAATGAACAACTGAGGTGCCCACCTGTCTCAGACACACATACCTTTCCTTAAAAATCATATAAACTTCTCCCTTAGAACAAGAGGTAAGATAGTTATTGAAAGGCAAGGGCCTACCATCTTCCAATATGCCAGCTGGGTTTTAATACAGTTCTTTCTTTCTCCACCACTCCACCTCTTAATTCAACTCCATCATACAGCAACTAACTGAACCTTATGTGGCACCATAAGGTTTACTTCATAAACCAGGAAACAAAGGCTTTTGCCCAAGGCCACAGAGTTTCTAAGGGTAAAGTGGTCTGACACCAGAGCCCAGTTCTTAACCACCAACTTACATGGCCTGCCTTGAGCAACGTAAGGACAGAGTATTCACCTACAACTTACCCAGCCCCGGGCATAGAGATAAGCACATGGGATCCAGTGCTTCCCCAAGCACTGGATCCCATGGAAGAGGTGGGAGATTAAGAAGGGCTAATGTTAGGGCTGGGGATATAGCTCAGTGGTATAAGCGCCTGCCTGGCAAGCGCAAGGTCTTGAGTTCAATCCCCACCCAGCACCACAAAAAAAAAAAAAAAAGAAGGGCTAATATATTAGGACAGAGTCAAAACACATATGGCACAGACTGAAAAGAGGATAAAACTCAAGCTTTACATACTGGCAACATGAGTATCCCAGAGAGATCCCCAAAAGACAACTGGAAGATGTCCCAGGCTTACCTGTCCCCGCATGACAGCAATCTGCTTATGGAATTGGCCCCTGTCAAATCCAGGATCTTTCTGCAAAAGAAGGTCAAGAGATCAGATCTGTGAATACCTCACAAAAATCCATTTTCTCCCCTAGTTAGAAACCTTGTAATAAAGAAAACCTATACAAGGCTTATGGGGCTTGGTGAAGTCAACTAGCATCCTAAGAAAACCCACCTTTACAGATGAGGAAACAGAGAACAAGAAAGTGTCTTGTTTTCCAACTCAAACTCAGAGATCTGAGGACATTCTGCAGCCACGTGATGTACCCTCTGTATGATCATCGCAGCTGCCCAGGTCCTTCAAAGGCATCCAAACTAAGTGCTGCTATCATTGTGTGAGATCCTTGCTCTACACTGGTTAAGTCAAGTCAGACAGGTATCAGCCATTCCCTCCTGGCTTGTGTCAAGACCAACTAGAACCATTAGGAGGCAGGTGTGGTGGTATAAATCAGCACTCTGGGAAGCTGATGCAGGATGACAACAAGTTTGAGCCCAACCTGGGTAACTTATTTAGTGAGACCCTGCCCCAACTTAAAGAACAAAAAAAGGCTAAGGATGTAGTTCAGTGCAAAGGCCCTGAGTTCAATCTCCAGTACTGGGGTAGGGTTAGGGATAGCTCCTTCCATACAGTAATCAGTTGAAGGCTCCCAGGACTAACCTTAAATAGCTCATACAGGTCCTCCTCCAAGTCCTTCACAAAGTTAGGGTCCGATATCTTTGGAAGAATCAGATCTTTGATCTCTTGGGAGAATGGGACTTTAGCCTGGGGCAACCAGGCCCAGTAGAAAGGATCTGAAAAGAGGAAAGAACAAACACAAAATGTGTTGGAAAAGTCTCTCCTCATTTGTTTCTTCTACCTACCAGGGAGTTTCAAAAGGAGAATCCTCCTCACTACATACACAGAAAACTAACAAGTGTTGTTAACCATGAAAGTTACAAGTTACATAACTAGTCAGTTCAAGCACCAGGATTCAAACCCACATTTACTTAATCCTGCAGCTCTTTCCTAGATGCTACATGACTTTCCAAGATGCAAGCTTACCCTGAAGCAACTACTTGCCACTGGGACATTGAGATGATTCTCCTGAAAATGAACACCAGTGCTGCAAAGGGGGCTAGTGACTCACTACTTACATTTCTCTTCCTTACCAAAAGTTGCTCAGTTATAATGGGGTAGGGAGTATCAACAAGGAAGACAGGGTACTGATAGCAGCCTATCTGTAGAGACTCAAATACAATAAATCATAAAAAGACAGATTTCAAAATGAATAAGAATAAAAGGTAGAAATAACAAAACTCATCTGTATGCTTTTTTTCCCCTTGTTTGGTTTTTTGAGACTGGGTCTCACTATGTAGTTCAGACTGGCCTTGAACTCACTATGTAGCCCAGGCTGGCCTTAAACTTTGCAACAATCCTCCTGCCTCAGCCTTCTGAGTGCTGCAGTTACAGGCACGTACCACAGCACCCAACTTCTTTATGCTTCTGACTTCACTTTGGTTTTTGTAGTGCTGGGTTGACTCTTGAACATGCTAGCCTTGAGATATACCTCCACCCTCCTATGCTTCTAATTTCTAATCACTCCGTATGTCTCTAGTGGGAATAATACAAGGAAAAAATTATACTAGCTTATATTATGGAATAATTGCCATGTGCTAATAACCATTGTGTTAAAGGTCTGAGCTGCACTATTTCACATTGACAAGACAGGCTGCAAGAGCAGAGCCAAACCAATGGTCTTAAAACTTACAGGCCCTCCAAGAGTCAGGATGCTTCAGTGGGAAGGCCAGCCCATTGTCTATGGCAGCCACCTTGATGACAGGCTCCTTAACCACCACCCAGTCTGTGTCCTGTAGAGCAAGGAGAGGCTAATTACTGAGGGAGCCCATAGGCCTTGGACAAAGTAGTACATCTCATCCCCTTCCAATACCTGTCCTTTTGCAACTTATTTGGAGCTACCTCTGAACTGGTTTCTGTGTTACTGGAACCTGGCACACTTACGGCATCTCTAGCCCAGCTTATTCAAGGTTCTTAGTGTCCCTTTCTTATTTGTGGAAAAGGAGCACTACCCCAGAACTTGCCACAATTGTTGGTAAGGATAATGACAAACGAAGATAACCAAGCCATTCCTCCTACAAAAGGCAATGAGAACCCTAACAGCAGAAAGAAAAATCTGTATTAGGTGGCCAAGGTCTTTTGTGTGGACCTTGTCTCAGACACCATTTCACTGGTGATGACCACATTTCCAGTGAGAAAACAAAACCACAGTAGACAACAGTGCTATTCTTGCACAAAGGAGTCTTTTCCTGCATCAGTGATTCATAAAGAGGAAAAAGACATGAGCTGAACAAAAAGAATGGGCAGCTCACCTGTGACAGCTCACATCAGGGACACCCATGGATACTACAAGGCTCTATGCTTTGGGTTCACTGGTGTGGGATCCTGGCTAGCATTATAGGTAGTACATACCTATAATCCTAGCACTCAGGAGGCTGAGGCAGGAGGATCCTCGTGAGTTTTAGGCCAGCCTGGATTACAAGGCCAGGCTGAACTACATAGCAAAATCCTGTCTCAAAAAAACTCTTAATTAATTCATTCAGTAATTAAAATAAAGCCAGGCATGGTGGCACATGTTTATATTCCCAGAACTCAGGAAGCTGAGGCAGGAAGATTGCCATAAGTTCAAGGCCAGCCTGAATTCCATAGTGAGTTCAAGGCAAGTCTGGGCTACATAGCAAGACCGTGTCTCAAAAAAAAAAAAAAGAGGGCCGGGAGATAGTTCAGCAGCACAAGCACCTGCCTGGCAAGTGCATGGTCCTCAGTTTGATTTCCGGTACCAAAAAAACAAAAAAAAAAAAAAAAAAAAAAAAGGAAAGAAAAGAAAGAAAGAAACCCCGAGTAATGCCTCAATTTCAGTGGGAAAGGCCTAAAGAATCTGTACATGTAGGTAGTGCTGAAGACTAAACTCAGAGCCTCACATGTGCTGGGTAAGCACTCAACCACTGAGCATAGCTCTTCCAATGAAGAGTACAAAATGTAACACTCAGTATTAGAGAAGTAAGCAAAACCTAAGTACTTAACACTGGGGCTAGCAGTATAGTTTAGTGGTAGAATGCTACAGCTGAGCATGTACAAAGTGCTGGATTCCATCCCCAGCACCACGAAATAAAAATAAAATCCAACCTCATTCTCCTTCAGGTAGCCTTCCTGCTACTTTTAAAAGACATGCACATGGAGTAGCAACAGAGAAGAGTGGTAGAAGATGACAGAAACAGCAAGAAACTTGCAGGAGAGGCTTTCTCTAAATTTACATCCTGTGAAATTGTGGTCTGCTGTGAAAAAAGTGTCCCACAGTTAAAATCACTAGGCCAAATCAAACTAGACAGGTTTGTCTCTTGTAGTATTTCTCAGGCTTTTACTATGCTACTGTGCAATGTGAAGCTCAAAGGAAGAGAGTACATAAAATTTTCAAAACTTACTTGACCTTTTCCTCATGCTGTTCCTATTAACATCAATCACTAGGATGTTCTTTAAAACACAGTGAGAAAAACTACACCAAACATTAAGCTATTAATTTTCAATACTGTGCTTCCCTGATTCTTTGGAACTTCTGTGACCTAAATCTAAACTTATATACCCATTTATGTATGTAGCTTGCTCTTTCTTTTTTGTTGTTTTGTTTTTGATACTGGGAATTGAACCCAGTGGCTTTTATATCCCCAGACCTTTTTATTTTTTATTTTGAGACAGAGACACATTAAATCACTAAATTCCCCAAGATGGGCTCAAATATGCAATCGTCCTGCCTCAGCGTTACAGTGCTAGGATTACATGCACATGCCACCATTCTTGGCTTGTGTGTTTCCATATTATAAGTATATTCTTCTCTATCCTCTTATGTGAAACACAGAAATCTCTTACCCGAGAGCTAGAACTATCCATTGGACAATCATATTTAATCAACCAATTGTCGTTGCCTCGATCTGTGAACAGAAATATAAAGTTAGGAGAAAAAATAGGAGTGACCTTTAATTTTAGTAATGGTGGACTAAGTATTGTGGACAAATGAACCAACCCTTCTATTGAGGACAACTACAAAAGTTAGATAAAATATTTTGAAATCTTTGAAAGGCATTGTTGATTTTAATAAAACCACAAGAAGTTAAGAGTCAAGAACTAGGAAAGAAAGAAAATTCGGAAAGAGGCTCCAAGTATTTGTACTTCTCCCCTAAAGCATCTACTGATTTGGGAAGATGTAGCTAGAGGCTAAGCAGAAGAACAGTGTTTTTTTAGCTTTGTAGAGTTAAAAGACAATAATTATACTCCAGTCACTGATAAGGTGTGGGGAGACTGGTAAATCATTTATGCTTTGACATGAGACCTGAAGGGCTACACCTTGAATATAAGCCAAGCTCCCCTTAAATAGCTGAAATTAAACTGATCCTGTACTGCTAGTACCCTAGCTGCTTGCCAAAAGCAAACTTCACCTTTTAGGCATAATTTATACCCTAGACTATCAGATATTCCTATAATTTCTGATAGAAAATATTTGACAACCAAAACTAACAAGGTACACAAAAGGACAAGAATATATGAATGAAAAAAGAGACAAGATAAAATTAAAACAATTGATATAGTTTCCACACAAGGAAATATCTTACTTAGACTTTAAAATGTTCAAGATAAAAATAATTACATTAAAGAAGATAAAGGGAAGGCTGGGGCTATAGCTCAGCAGTACCAGAACCTGCCCGGCAAGTACAAGGTCCTGAGTACAATTCCTTGTACCAAAAAAAAAAGAAGAACAAGGAAAAAAAAAGCAGAGAAGAGGAAAATGGCAGAGTGGCAATCGGCAGCAAAATTAAACCTCTACAAGAACCAGAATCCAGACACACCATAACAACTTGGTAAAGAAAAACAAGAAGTACATTGCTGGAAATCAGAAAGGAACTGACAGAAAAATCAGAAGCTACAGAAAAGTTGGAGAGATGGTCCACAGTGCAGAGAAGGGGAAAAATGGAACAATGTGGTCTCTATCCCTGACTCATGGCTTGTAGGGAGGGGAATCCGGTTCCCCAGGAGCAAGGTAAGCACCTAGGGCTGCCAGACGTAGAGAAAAAAAGTAGCAGGGCACACAGCTGTGGTGAACTGCAAAATTAGGGACGGGGATTCCTTCACATGGCAGGTAACAGCCAGAGAGGAATTCCAGGCTGGGTGCTCACCATATCACCAGGGAATACTTAATCAAATCAGGTGCTCTTTCAGGAAGGGGCTGATTATTTAAATATGGAACTCAGAACAACCAAAAAGAACTTTACTTCAGGGCTCCCAGCAGGACCCTCCCACAGTGACTGGGTGAAAGACAGCCATAAGAGACAGCCACGGACAGAGACTGAGCAGTGATACAGAAAGAGATTCATGGAAAAGTTTAAGACAGAAAGAACACAGCCCTCCCCCCATTCCAGTTGTGCTCCAAAACAGCTGGATTTGAAAACGCCATATGCAAGGCCTTGGGTTCAATCACCAGTACCACAAAACAATAAGAACAAAAAGCCATTATCAACAAAGTAAAAAGGCAACAGAATGGGGGAAATATTTGTGAATATCTGATAAGAGACTAATGTCCAGAATATATAAGGGACTTAAAAAACTCAACCACATCAAAAAATGGTCTGGGCGTGGTGACACAACCTGTAATCCCAGAATTCAGGGACTGAACCCAGAGGACCACCTGAGGTCAGAGAACTGCCACAAATTCAAGGCCAGCCTGGGCTACATAGTGAGTTCAAGGCCAGCCTGTACTACAAAGTGAGTGTCTCACAAAAAAATAAATAAATAAAATTAAAAAGCTGCTTCAGAAATGACCAAAGTCTGGGCATGGTGGTGCACACCTGTAACCCCAGCACTTTGGGAGGCTGAGATAAGAGAATCACCACAAGTTCAAAGCCAGCCTGGGCTACATAGTGAGCGCAAGGGCACTGTGACAGTGAAACTGTCTCAAAAGCCAAAAAGAAAAAAAAAAATCAACAAATTTATTTCCTTAAATTAAAATAAATTTATACTTGTGAATATTTTATGAATAATAAATTCTCTAAATTTTAACATGGAAACCTTACAAATGCCCCAGTGCTCCTTTAATAACACTATGCATTTACAACGGCTGTTCCACACATTAGTTGTATTACAATTTTTTTATACCATTTTAATGTTTTCCTTAGGAAACTGTAATATGATGACATTTGGACTGTGAAATCAATGCCTTTCTTTGTTTTATTTTAACCAAAGACCCCCTGAGAAGTGACACAAGCTGTCCGATGGGACAATCGTGATGTACTACTAGTAGTTTAAGCCAGGAGTAATAAGCAAATTCAAATCAGAGTTGCCCAACAGCAAGACATACGAATTATGTTGTGAAAATGTTAAAACTGCAGCAGAGGGTTTTTTTAATCAATGATCTACATATCCATCTTAAGAAGTTAGAAATAGACAAAATTATCCTGCGACAGACCTTGATGCTGTAAGAATGACTAGAGGTCAAGAATAAACAAGCTCTCTATAATGTTTTGGAAGAGCCAGGTGTCTTCTCTTTTTTTTTTGTCTTTTCTTCCGGTACCGGGAATCAAACTCACAACCTTGCACTTGCCAGGCAGGCGCTTTGCTGCTGAGCTAAATCCCCAGCCCTGAGCCAGGTGTCTTCTATCTGTGACCAGGAAAGAGCCTAAAATGGAATGTAAATACTGCTTCAGCCCTCGCTACCACTGCTAACTACACATGAGGTGTCTGACAAAGCTTATCCCGGAGCTTTGTATTCTCTGACACTCTCCCTAAATGTGCATGTCCCCTCACATACAGGAAAGTGTTCATCCTGACACAGTGTCTGACTCCCAATTCCTGCATGCCTGCAGGTCTTCCCCATGCCTCAGCACAGTCTGGCACAGCATGCAGGACCACCCATACTTACTCACCAGTGTTGCGGATAATGTAATCCAACACTACCAATCGCTCAAACTGCAGCAGTAGTTGCCTATTGGTGTTTTCAGGGAGAGGTTCTGCTTCAAAACGCCGCAGCCAATAGTCTGCATCTTTATAGCCCTCAACAAAGAGCTGGAATGAACCAACCTGTAACCAAAAAGGAACAAAAGCATTTCCCTACAGTCCAAGTCCAAAGACCCTGTGGATTAGTCAAGAACCCAGTAAAGGGACTATAGGACAGACTGTTCATGTGCCTATCTTCAAGTCTGAAGGCAGTTTGTTCTTCTACTTGAATGACTGTCACTGTATATCAGCATCTTTGATAAACGACACAGGTATAGTCAATACCTTTGGAGGTAGCCCAATGCGGTTAAATCGCTGCCCAACTTTTGGCACTTTCTCTAGTGCAAGCCGCTTGCCCCTGGACTTCACTCGGTCAATGGCACTATAATTGAAGGTTTCACTGGCCAGGTATACTACCTACAGTGGAAAGAGAAGAGATACTTAGGTTAAAGTTTAAGAAACCAGACCACTATTGGATAGAATAGCTAGAAATTCACCAATACTGTTCCTTTTCCAAGACACAGAGAAAGAATACACTTCTCACTTGGCCTTCCTAGCAACTAGGTTAGGGAATATGGATAGTTCAAGCCAGTGGAATGCTGATAAAATGATACATGTGCATACCTTCCAGGCCTGGCCCCTAAAATCTCAATGATCCTTAGTTTGTATTTCCCAATCACAGCTAGAAATGAAGCGCTTTGAGACAGAAAAGTCATACCATGAAACAATCTCAGATCCCTTGTTAACTCTACATGAACTGCTACATAGACATCAGCAAAAAGTAAACTCCTACTAAATATATTAGGCCACTGAGATTCAGCGACTACAGCAGCTAGTGTGAATCACCTTGATAACAATCACCTCCCAGGTTAGAAGAGGCCAAAGCCCTATTTTCTTTCCAGATAGAAACAAACTGCAATTTACTCCACTTTATTTCTTTTGAATTTTGTACTTTGCGAAATTATTCATATTAAAATACTATAAACATTAAAATTGATTTTTGCTTTTAATGGACTTCTATATTCATGCAGAAACTGTATCCGGACCATTACACAGGAAACTAGTAACAGCAAACGCCTCTGAGGAAGGAGACTGAGTAGCCAGCAAACAAGAGCGAGCAGACCCTAAATTGTTTTTTTCTACTGACTTTTCTGTGCCTCTGATTTTTACACTAAATATATGCATTGTCTATTTTAAAAACTGCAATGGCCATCAATATTACACGTGATTGTCAAGCTGTGGTGACATGAGGCAGTCCATATGTGCATCCAGAATCACACCTGCTACTCTGTCTTCTGACAAGCCATTCCTATATCTGAACTCTCTCTTAAAATTAGTAAGATTTGGGAGACAGAGAATATCTTACTCACATCCGGAGCACCTAACAAATGCCTGGCACATGCTCACTAAATATTAGGTGAATAAATGAAAGAATGAATGAATGAGTTATGAGCCTCTCTCAGAGTTGACAGCAAGTGGGTTTTAGCATGTTAAGTACCTTACATGAAATTTATAAGAAAATTCCTTTCCTAAGCCTCGCAAAATTCATTACAAATAACTATTTAACTCATGGACATTAGAGGTGAAATAATTCCTTTTCATCTCTCATTTTCTTCTTCTATCCATCCAGTGTTAGCAGGGTTCCTAAAATGAATGTGCAAAGTTCTATGGTAGGTCCACCCTAACTTACAAATCAGGACACTCAGGCATAGGAATCAAGGAAAAGGGGCTTTCTAAAGCTATTCCATCAATAATAACTATGAAAACCCTAGCCATAAACCATCTTTTTCCTCCTATCAGATTAATTTGTGATCGTTCTTCCCAGCCATCCACTTTTTCCCTACAACTAATGAAACTATCATATCCTGAAACATCACAGGAACACAGAGTAAAAAGCATCAATGAATGAGAATCAGAACCTTACTATTTGAAGCTCCTTTGAAAAGTGAGCCTTGTTTCCATAGTGAGAGATGGTCAGATCAACTGGACAGAATCCTGTACAAGGAAGGGTTGGGGACAAAAGAAAGGGACAGACTTCTCTTACTATTCCCCGGCGCAAAGTTCTGTCTCATGTCAGTCTCACTGAGGACAGTGTTTTTGCTGTTGCTGATTTTCTGATGCAAATGATCTTCAGGCCTCATTAAGATTCCCTAACAGGGAAAGAAGAACACCAGAGATGGGGACGAAAGGGATATAGAGGTGACACTAAAGATCAGAACAGCCCAGAAAAATACCATAGGTTTACATGTATGGTATGTTTACCTTGTGCCAGGCACAAGGCTATGTGCTTTTACAAGGATTATCTTGTATAATCACAAGAGCCACTCAACAAAGTAGTAGCTATTTAGATCTCTATTTTTCCAGTAAGGAAACTGAATGTGTGTGTGTGTGTGTGTGTGTGTGTGTGTGTGTGTGTGTGTGTGTGTGTGTGCGCGCAGCAGGGGGTTAACTGACTTGCCCAAGGGTCACAAAAATAAAAAGCTGCAAACTGGATGTGGATCACATGCCTGTAATCCCAGCATTCTGGGAGGCTGATGCAACAAGATCACAAGTTTGAACTCACCCTAGGCAACTAGCAAGACCCTATTTCAAAATTAAAAATAAAAGGGCTGGGGGTGTAGCTCAGTGCAAGGCCCTGGGTTCAATTCCCAGTACAGAGCTCAAAAAAAAAAAAACAAAAAAAAACCTGCAGAGCCAGAATTTAAACTTGCTTTCTGATTTTTAGCCACTGCAATCCAAAAGCACCTATAGCAGGCAAAGGGCCAGGCTCAGGGCCAGGGGCAGTCTGCTATCTGCCTTGTAAAGGAAGAAAATCACAGAGTGATGAGTAAGAAGTATTTAAGAGAGCTTCTAGAGTCTAGGAAAGGCCCAGTGGGAGGATTTCAGGTTAGACAGGAGACTTAGGAACATTAAGTACAGCATAAGACAGTCGAAGTATGCTGTTTATCAATACACACAGATAAAAAAGTATAAAGGAAGGGAATGAGCTGTACAAAGCCATACAGTGACTTAGGTATCAAATGGGAACTATAAACTTGGTCAAACATTTTTTCCACAGACCTGAAATTGAGGGATCTTTGGTACTGGTTCTCATAATATGATTTGCATTCACGAAGTCTTCTGGTACTTAATGAACACTTATTATAAACAGAGCACTGTACTACATATTGAGAATGGGAGAAGGATATCTCAAGAAGTGGTCTCTGACTTCTAGAAACTTCCCAACTAGTTGGGCTTACTGTTTATAGTTTAGTGACCAAAGTGCAAATAGAGTCAAACATTAGTCACATTTTCTTCTAAAATACCCTAAGGAAACCAAATCAAGTTTGAAGGGACATTCCTATCTGCTAATCAACCTCTTTGCCTTCAGAGTCTGCGACCTGAACCTGTGAAGAAAACCTCAGGCAGGAGTGTTCAATTTAGAGGAAAGGATCAATGGATGGACTTCAACTGGTCACGAACACTGCTCCAGAAATTATATGCAAAATATTTATTACAAATATGAGTATTTTTTTCTGAGAACAGTACCTATAGCTTTCACTGGATTCTCAAAGACGGTTAAGACTCAAAACTAAGAAGATGCTTCTGCAGCCTTGGGGAATCAGATCAAAGGTCCATGTAAGGTGTTTCTAACCCTCAGGCTGCTGGACACACAGTGTGTGATGATGTGTCCTTAAGTGTTTGTATACTAACCAGCATATTCTTCCCCTCATAACTCTTGGAGAGTTTCATGGAGCACCCTATAGTACAGGGATTCTTAAACTGGTATCAGTAAACTTGAAATTATATGCCATCAATTCTGTATAGCCAAATATGTTTTGTAGAGGAGTGGTCCAGGAGTGGTCCAAATCCTTCATCAGAACCTCAATTAAATCTGTAACATATATAAGATACATATAAATCCATTATATGTGTGAATTTGCCTGTATCTGGGACCTGTGTGTGTATTGCTGGGGATTAAACCCAGGGTCTTATGCTTCCAGGGCAAGTACATTACCACAACTATATCCCCAACCCAGACCTCTATTTTGGTATGTTCAGATAAATTCCAGGATTCTACAGAATAAAAACAGGTGACGAAGATTCCATGTAGCTCCCTGAAGGTGCTCAGGCCGGTCATTTTGCTCTAACACTCAACCTATCCTAAAATCTTCCTCACCAGACTTTACATAAGCACTTACAAGATGTTAGCTAATCCATTCAAGCTTGTATCTAATGTCAATGTGGTACACTCCCACAGTCCTTGCTTCTCTGTAGGCTAAAAGGTTTGATCACAGTTCATATCTAGCCTAGGCAACATGGTAAGATCTTGTCTCTTTAAAAAATAATAATTTTTTAAAAGGTGGTATTTAAATTCTGGAATGGCTCAGAAGTCTAAGAGAGTGAACTGCAAAAGTAGCTAAGTTTCTAACTAGCTTTGGGTTACCTGGGATCCAAAAACTAAAAAAGCCCACAAATGCTCACTGGCCATCTGTGAAATTCCTGAACTTTTGTGTAAAACCTGTATGTGTATCTTTCTCAGGATAACTTTCATCAGATGGCCAAATGATAAGTCTAATCCTGTTACCCTCCCACAAAAGATTGAGAATCTTAGACTTAAACACTCCCCACTGAGCCCAAAGTTCCAATAATAGGTCTTAGGCCTCAGAAAAACTCTGGCCAAGCAATAAGGGTACCTGGAAGTGAGTCACTGACCTTTGTACGGGGTACAATGTTGAGTTCCAGTTTTTGGTCCACCAGACTGGCTCCTGCCTCTGAGAGATAGCCCTGGTTGAGGACAAGGCAGTCACGGCCAAAGCAGCAGGGACAGCACAACTTCTGTAGCCACTTAGTCCACTTAGGATTAAGGTGTCCATATGGCTCTTCATTCTTCGGTTTGAAGACAGCAATGATCCTCTAAACATACAAAAAGAGAATAGGGGCTGGGGATTTAGCTCAGCAGCACAGCACCTGCCTGGCAAGCACAAGGTCGTGGGTTCGATTCCCAGTACCGGGGGAAAAAAAAAAGAGAATATTAGAGGTGAGCTGAGGGGTCAAAAATGTAGCTTTGTGGTAGATCATATGCATAGACTATGCAAGGCTCTTGGTTCAATCCCCAGCACCAAAAATGTTTAAAAAGGTGAATTGATTAAAGTGGTCACAAACCAAGTCAGCAGAAATCTAGAAGGAAATGAGAGGCACAGGCAACAATCTCTACATACAGTCAGACAAAGGCTTTTCCCTAGCTTGTGCATACCAGCTCATGTGAGCAACTAAGACCCACTGTAGAAAGGACTGTGGCCTAAAAAGGTACCGTGTCTCTTCATTCTTCTCTTGTACTATGCTTCTTTTCTCTATCTCTCCTCCCTCATGTGAGCACCTACCTCTAACCTGTGCTTCAAACAAACAAGGTAAACAGATTTGTACATTTCTAAGAACAAGATCCAAAAGCCACCTCAGTGGCACATCTTGAGTCCTGGGCAGCAATCTTATGTCAACACAGTATTGCTTCTTGCTCTCCCAGAAAGGTTATAACATCATACTGTAAAGTCACCCTTGCCCTAAAAAGTGAGAAATTAATATAGATTTTTCATGTATCCCTGCCCTATTTATCCTTTTTTTATATGGTCTGCCAAAAACTTGACATCACTAAACTCTAACTTCCAAGGTTTATATATACACACTATTGCTATGTTAAAACTACGTAAATTCAGCACACCTGTAATACCATCACTCTGGGAGGCTAAGACAGGAAAATCACAAGTTTGAGCCATGTCTGACTTAGCAAGACCCTGTCTCAAAATAAAAAATAAAAGATGGGAAACGTAGCTCAGTGTAAAGGCCGTTGGTTAAATCCCCAGTACAAGGGCAGAAAAACCTCAAAAAAAGTATCAACTGAAAAGAAATAAAATATTATGGAATGACAGAATGAAGTTAAGAAAATCAATGGGTGACATCCTCTATCAGTCTTCACTCCTATCTCCTGGGTATTAACAAAGCCTTGAAATAAAAAGTTTAGGAATGACAAATTGAGGAAGCAACCAGAAAAAAATCATAACAGCAAAAAGAATCTGCTACTTGACTAAAATAGGGTGAAATAATTCTGATAGGCAGAAAACAGGACATGAGACATCATAAAGATTAAATCCTTCTTTTCTAGCTGACAGTAACAATCCTCAGAGGTTCTTGAACATTTGGAATGCCTAGAAATTATAGCCTCCTTTCTAAATGTTCTCTCCCACAAGCCAGTCAGCCCTCTAAAGTTGTTTTACACATATCTCATTTCCTCCAGCCCTCAAACTGTTCATTCAAAGGCAGAAAAGCAAATATGCTAACTAAATGATTCATCTTTGTATCATATGATTACCCTTCTCCCCTCACTCCATTGCCAACTCAAGCTCAGCTGGGTCATAAGACATTTCCCTGTGGGTATCACTTCCTAAGTGGCAAGCTCACAACAGACAATACACACCCACCTCCCTCCATTAAGTATATACTAGAGAAGGAACTGGCCAGGTCTCACCACATAATTTAGGCTGTCCATGAACCACTATGTAGCCCAGGGTGGCCTCAAACTTGCAGCAATCTTCCTGCCTCAACCTCCGGAGCGCTGGGATTACAGGTGTGCACCACCAAGCTCAGCAGAAGTCTCCTTTTTCTGTGTCCACTCGCCTGAAACTCAGCCTCTGAACAACAAAGCAGCAGCACCAGCAACAGGCTTGTGATTCAGAGTACAAATGGTAAATCCACTGAAACTCTCCGGATCCTGAACAGGGAAGCCACAGGGCAACCGGAAGTATGTCTCAGAACTCAGCGGTTCAACTGGGGCACAATGTGGAGTTCAGCAATCTGGTACTCCGAAAAGGGAGATCAAGACATGCCTGCTACCATAAGCAGGAGCTAAAAAATATCAGAGCTAAGGCTTAAATATTCCCACTTTAGGAAGGCAGAACTTGAAGGCCAAGATTGCAGCCAAACATCATTTATAGATTGAACTTTCATACTTTTCAATTTTTTTCCATTATACGGAGGATCAGCATTTCAGTGACTCTTTAAAGGCGTTAGAAATTATGGCTATCTCAGTCACAGAGAGGTTGCATTAAAGGATACTGTATGGACTAGGTGAATGAGAATGGGTAAGTAGGAAGGATGGAGGAACAGAGGGCATTCAGAGAGACAGGGAGACCCATGCCTTTAACAACTAAGTGCAGGGCTCAGCTCGACCCAATTCTGTTAACATTTTCTCAGGACCTAGTTTCTACAAGACAGTGTGCAAGCATGCAGTGGGTTTCCCTGCCACAGACATAAAACTGCCTCTGGCCAAATTTCCAAAGCTAATGTTCACTTTATATAAACAACTATGTTACTGAGTAATCAAGAATACGCTCCTCATTCATAAAGAACAAACTCTAAAATGACTCAAATTAGAAAGACACTTTCCAGTATTCAGCTGAGAAAGAAAATGATGGCTCAATTTTTCTCATTATCCTTTCTCTTCTTTAACAGGCTGTCAATTCCTTTGTTAAATCTAGGAGAACATTTCAGCTTGGTGCCAATATTTTTAAAACACTTTTCCTTAACATCCATCTGCTAATCTTCCTGTTTCATAAAAGGGCCAAAGTATAGATAGCTGTAGTAGTAGCAGTTCATTGTGTTGGAAATGAAAACAGAACTGCACAAGGAAGCAAAAGCCTGGCTGATGTCAGGATCTACAATCAATTATTGAACTTTAAGAGTTGCCCCTATCTGTCTAGTACTGATAAGAAGGAGGGTCTTATGCTATGAAAAAAAAGGTGCTGGAGCTGGGGGCAGTGCACACTTGTAACCTCAGCTACCTGCAAGGCTGATGCAGGAAGATGGCTCTAACACCGAAGTTTGAGGACAGCCTGGGCAACACAGAAAGATTCTACCTTCAAGAAGTGGGGTGGTTTCTCCAGGAATCTGTAATTAAAGATACTACAATTATATCACTCATATTGCACAGTGAAATATACAGAAGTGACCTTTAATAAATGTTTTTTAAGTTTCATAAATGAAGTGGGTGGTTCTCATACTTTTTGATCTCAAGATTCCCTTAAAGTCTTAAAAATTATTAAGACTCCAGAAAGCACTTGTTTCTGTGGGTAAAAGATATATTTGCTGTATTCAAAATTAAAAGTGAAATGTCAAAACTATTTAATTCACTTAATAAAAATAAATTCATTACATATTAATATAAATCAAATATTTTTAATCAAATATTTTTATGTAAACTTTTCAAAAACATTTTGGTATCATTTCACATTTTTGCAAATCTCTTTGATGTCAGACTTCATAAAGGACAACAGAATTCTCACATCTTCCTTAGTATTCAGTCTGTTTCAAAATCACACATCATGCGATCTCTGGAAATCTCCATTCTATAACAATAAGGAAATGAGAGTGAAATAAGCAAATAAACTCTTAAAATTATTTTTAAAACTTATTATGAAAATAACTTTTACTCCTAGACACCCCCCCCTAAAAAAAGAACTCCTAAGGGTCCATGGGCCACCCTGCAAGAAATGCTGTATTCTATATTAGAGGATACTGGGAAACAGCAGTCCCTGGTTAACTATATAGATAGAGAAAACTTATTTACATACAAAACGGAAGAGTGTACTACTCTAAATATATTAAACTCTGAAAGAAGTTGGGGCCTAAATATTCAGAGTGTAGTGACAGAGAGTTTGACTGTATTTACTTTCCCACCCCGCTGCCATTCATCCAATCTGCTTTACCCTTTATAACTTGCAGCTTGAGACAGTGCTTTATAACAGATGGTAGGTTAATGTTTTAAATCTCATGACCTACATCTGTCTAGGATGTACAAACCTGACTTGTTCTGTTTCACTAAAACAAATTTAAATAAAAGAATTCTACTATGAGATTCTTTATTTGGTGATGGCCACCAGTGTGGTCCTCAACTAAGTGGAAGGTTCTAAGAATTTCTTAGAGGGTACAGGTAGTTGGAAGAAGCATATTCAACATTGTAACAATTTTATATCATGGCAAACTGTTCAAATATATTTAAAAGGCTGAAAATCATTGAGAAGAGGCCAAGTTCACAGACTATGTGGGCATCCCCCACCCCTACCCCAGTACTGGGGATTTCAGGACCTTCGCAATGAGTTACAGCCCTCAACTCCCCATCGTCACCGCCATATTTTTTTACAATTTTGAGACAGGGTCTGGCTAAATCACTAAGTTGCCGAGGCTGGGCTCAAACTTGTAATTCTCCAGGCTCCCAAAGTTCTACGAAGTTCAAATATTTTTAATCAAATATTTTTATGTAAACTTTTCAAAAACATTTTGGTATCATTTCACATTTTTCCAAATCTCTTTGATGTCAGACTTCACAAGTCTGAAAAGTCTGGTGCAATTTCTAAGAAAGGTCCTATAGGACATAGTCTTCCTCTCCCTTTTCTTGTTCCAACTTATTGAAAAACAGGCAAGATGTCTAAAGCTTGAGCAGGCCTGTATGCAACCATGACAGCTGTGGGCAGTGTCCTGTAATTGATATGATGCAAACAACAATTAGCACTACTGAATGAAATGCTATTCTCCACGATTATGAAAACACCTTCTTAAAATTATACTACTTTTGCCTTGTTCAGTGTCATGTATCTAAGAAAGTCAATAGGTATATAATTTCAAAACAAAAAATTGTGATTGAGCCTCCACTAAGCACCAGAACTACGCCAGAGCCTTTCACATATGATTGATCTTGTACAAAATAGTTTATTTACTTAGCTTATGAGTAAGGCAGCTAGCTAGGGGAAGGACCTGAGATAAGAGTTGAGTGACCAGCCATACTGATAAGAATTATAAAATAAGAATGGACAGTGAAGTAGGACTTTTCCTCAATCACATGGAATGCAGCCCCTATTCCCTACTAAAGGGAGTTGTAGTCACTCTCTGCTAAGATCCTGAGTTCTGAGGAAATTAAAATGCAAAACTCTGTTTTTCTTTAAAATCTGCCTCAGTACTTAAAGGAAACATTCAAATTGGTCATTTTAAATCTACAGAGCCACCAGTGACAGCTGACCCCTAAACAATTCAGCAATTCCTATGCTCTGCTTATCTATACAGTAATTAGTTTTGGACTGAGAGGCCAGGTAGCCACAAACTCAAAACCCCACCTGGAGCCAGGCGTGGTGGTGCATACCTGTAATTCCAGCACTTGGGAGGCTGAGACAAGAGGATCCTCATGAGTTCGAGGCCAGCCTGTGCTACGTAAGTGAGTTCAAGGACAGCCTACACTACATAGCAAAGCCCTGTCTCAAAAATAAATAAATGTGTGAAAGAATAGATCAATAAAAATTAATTAAAAAAAAAAAAAAACCCACCTGGAAATCCAGAAGCTATTCTTATTTGCAATAAGATCCCCCTAACCTCCTCTCCGGTTCATGACTTCATTCCTCGAGTCTGTGAAACTATGAGCTCAGAACATACAGTAACATCATCTCATTTAATCCTCTTAAAACTAGCAGGTCACATATTGTTCTGTGATTCCTACCAATATGAACATGTGGTATTACTGGCCACATGAAAGAGAAAATGCGGAAGGAAGGAAGGAAGGAAGGAAGGAAGGAAGGGAGAAAGGAAGGAAGTCTGTAACTAAGTGAAAACAAGACCTGAAGTACAAAGGTGTAAATGAACAGGGGAAATGTGAGATCGTGCTTTACCATGACTTTTTTTTTAAAGGTACTGAAAGTACTGGACCAACGAACCGTCTCTGCACTGAACCACGTACCCAGCTCTTTTTAATTTTATATTGTAAGACAGCCTCGCTAAGTTGACCAGGCTGGTCTCAAACTATACATCCGCCTCAACTTCCCTAATAGTTGTAAATTATAGCCTTGTACCACCATGCGTAGATTCCACCATGACTTCTAATCTGGCATTTTCCGGCTCCAGGTCCTCACTTGCTCATCCTGTGGCAGATACCATCCTAAATTGGAAAATGGAATCAAGAATCTTTTGAACTAAGTTTCAAAAGTAGCTATCACAGAAAGTGCTGGTTCTCCCAATCAGTTTCCCTTCTTCCCTGGACATTAGATTTCTGGCTTTTAGCTGTGCCAGATAAATTTCTAATTCCCAAACACTACTGCAGCTAACTTTTGGACACCGGGATGTAGGTGGAAAAGTCTGGTGCAATTTCTAAGAAAGGTCCTATAGGACATAGTCTTCCTCTCCCTTTCCTTATTCCAACTGACTGAAAAACAGGCAAGATGTCTAAAGCTTGAGCAGCCATGTTGAAGAGTATGAAGTAGAAGCCACATACTAATGATGACTAAATACTGGATGGAAGGAGGCTGAATCCAGGAAAAACTGAAATGCCACGTCAGCCCTAAACAGCCTTTGGACTTCCTTTACGTGAGAAACAAATGAACCTTTTTCCAAATCATTATTGTTTTAAAATATCTGTCACACATAGTCAATTTTATTTTATTTTTATTTTATTTTATTGTACTTTATTTTTGAGACAGGGTCTCAGGCTGGCCTTGAACTCACTGTGTAGTCCAGATTGGCCTCCAACTCGTGGTGGTCCTCCTGCCTCAGTCTCCCAAGTGCTGGGATTACAGGCGGCCACCGCCAGCCACAACCAATATAGTAGCTAAAAACAGAATCCAGAAATTCAGATGACTGACTAACTCTGAAACAGCAAAGTGCTATAGTTAAGACCATGACCTCCAGAGCCAATACACCTGGTTCTACCACTTCCTACCTGCAAGAGCTTGGACAAATGAGTCATACTGTGTGCTTCAGTACTGTCACCAATGAAGGCAGTAACAGTACCCACCTCTGAGAATGGTTAAAAGGATTGAGTTATTATTTGTGAAGCATCTGGCATATAAGTGCTATGTAAGTATCTGTTAAACAAAATAAATACACTTAGAGCAGCATCAAAAAGAACAATACCAACTACAGAGTGTGTGGGCCATACTAATCCTCCACACATTTAGGATTGTCTTCAGTGGGAACAGGAATAAGTTTTGATGGGCCATCCATGTTTCAATTCCCCTTCTAACAAAGAGGAGTGGGTAGTAAAGTTTAGAGACCCAGATACTGAATATCACCAAAAATTGTCATTCTCTGTGTATGTACTGAAGTGGTAGCACGTTACCTGCCAGGGAGACTGAGAGATCCTATTACTCTCAGTTGTTAGAGCACTAGATCACTTCTCAACTGACCTGACACACTTCCAAGGGAGCTTTAACCATCTCATGAAAGGAAACAAAACCTCCCTCCTCCTCCTGAACCTATCAAAGATAATCTTAGTCCATTCTCATACTGGCCAACAAGCTAACTCTTACCATCATTAAATCGCATTCTGTTCTCAAAAAAGATGAAAGCATTTGACTGACATTTAAGATATAATACCTTCCCTTGCTTCTAGAAATGATGGTTCTCATTTATACTTTAAAACTTCCTTATTTAAGGGTCTTGAAAAGAATGATTTTCAAACCTTTCTCCAATCCAGTTTATGTAAACAGAGTTGGCAACAAAAATGCTCTCTGAGTCAGGTGTGATCCCAGCACTAGGGAGGCTGAGGCAACAGAATTAGTTCAAGGCCAGCTGTGGCTCCATAGTGAGTTCAAGGACTGCCTGAACTACATAGTGAGACACTGTCCCCAAAAAAGTAAAAAACAAAAAACACAAACCTAGAAATGCTCTCTGGTTGTGTTTTTATTGATTTTTGCAGCACTGGGGATTGAGCACTAGACTTTTTCACTGAGTTACATCTCTAGCCACCACACCTTGCTGACAACCATCATTTTAGTAAGTACGATAATAATACATTTTTCCTATGAACCATTTCCACCACATCTGAACCTTTTTTTTTTTTTTTTGGTCTTTTTGAGACAAGATCTCACTATGCAGTTCAGCCTGGCCTTGAGCTCACTTTGTAGCCCAGGCTGGCCTCGAACTGGCAAAGATCCTCCTGCCTCAGCCTCCCAAGTGCTGGGTTTACAGGTGTGCACCATCACGCCCAGCAACATCTGAACTTAATGAAGACTTCATCTTTTAGCTTGTTTTCGTTTTTTAAAATTAAATTTCAAATTTCAGGATCTCGCTGCACAGTTCAGGCTGGCCTTGAACTCACTGTATAGCCTAGGTTGCCTCAAACTTGCTGCAGTCCTCCTGCCTCAGCCCCCCAAGTGCTGCGATTTCAGGTGTGTGCCACCATGCCCGGCCCGTATTTCGTATTTCGTCACCCACTGCTCTTACAATCACATCTTCAGTGGGTCAAATGCCTTAAATTTTCTGCATGTCTCAAAACTGGTCATTTCTCAGCTGCTCTTGTCATTCCATATCCCATCTTATCCCTATCTCCCTATATACACATTCAAGGGACAAAATAACGGTCAGCAAAACTCCACCTTTGCTGAAACACAAAATGCTGATAGTGGGGGGAGGTGGGTAAATGAAAGATAACAGCCTGTGCTTCTAAATTTCTGCATTCTAAAGAACTACTGAAAATGAGTTGAATCTTTTCCCAGAAGTGAGCAATAACCAGGGCAGATGAAACTGTGAGTCCACCCACGCTATCACCACGGTCGGTCAACGAGAGACCCAGGACCTTGGCAGGAGACACCCCACAGGAGGCTGGAACTGAACCCTCAGATGGGTCACCCATCCTCCAGAACGGGGACGCGCCGCTTGGGTCTAAAAAGAGAGGACAGACCAAAAGCCCCAAATCCGTAGGCCAATGGCCGAAAAGTAATCCCAGTAGTTTAAAGCTGAGGAACCCACCAGGAAGCAGCATGTGCCCGCGCCTCTCTGCCCGGACCAGATCGCCTCGCCGCACGGCTGGCCCCTGGCCTGTATCTAGTCCATTTCCTCTTTTCATTTTCCGCTCAACCTCCCCCACCAGCGAGGTTCTGATTTATTTCTTCACTCCGCAGAGCTTCCCCATCTCCAGTCCTCAGAGGCACCCCAAATCCCGCTGGGGACCGGCCCTGTGAAGTTTTTCTCCTCTGCACCAGCAGCCCCCTTTGGCCGCGCCCGCGCCGGCCCGGCGCCCGGGTCCCACGCCCGCGCTCACCCCTTGAAGGTCCTTGACGAAGTAGCTTCCGCTGGAGCCCTGGTAGATGCGCTCGGGGAAGATGCAGCGCTCGATGGCCACCTCTGCCTGCCGCACCACCGTCTCGAACTCCGGGTCCTCGGGGAACTCGTTCCGCTCGCGGGAGGCCTGCGCGGCGTGCGCTGCGGCCGCAGCCTGCGCCGCCAGGGCTTGGGCCTGCGCCGCCACGGTGTGGGTCTGGCCCTGG